AAAATGTTTCAGTTTGTTTCATTATGGCGGATTATCACCAAACGGACAAAACCACAACAAAATAGCAACTGTGTCGACTTCGGCAAAACAAAAACTTGAGTAGCGGGCTACTGTTTTTGTCAACAGTGAAATGTCCCGTCGGCAGGCGGAAAGGTCAAAAGTTTTCGGAGTTTTGTCTGTGTTTTTGTAAACATAGTTCACTATGTGAAAACGGACTGCGATATTTTTACTTTATTTAAAGTGTTAACCTGTGGTGGGTATAAATTTCGGTTATCGGCACTAGGCAGGCTATTTTTATTGATTTGTTGTACTGTTCATTTCAAACAAGAATGAGATTTGATTTTCCTCTGTAGAACATGAGGGGAAAAATAGCAATATGCAGACAGTTGAAGAATGCAACAATTTAATTGGTGTTTGTGCAGTGGAAACGATAGAAAACTGTTCAACAAAACACGCGACTCAAACAAGTTTTTGTCTGTTTGGTGGAATTCGTGCTTCGAGTTTGTTTATCGAAACTCAAACAAGTTTTTTGTTGCTGTTTTTGAAAAGGAAAACTAGTCGCAAGCAAGTCCATTTGGTGAAACTCCGACTTTATACCTTATTAACTTTACCTAATAAATACACCATCTCGGGATAGTACTTCTCTTTTTGGCAAATGTCCAGCGCTTCTTGAATGGGATAATGATCAGACTTTTTTAGAAAAGGTAACAACTTTTCCCTAGCGAAAATGGCGTAAAGCTTCACAAGCTCTTTATGGTATTTTCCTTTAGGGTTTTTCTTGTCGTACTCATCTAAAAACTGCCGAAAATAGATGTACACGAGATTCATTAGTTGGTCTTGTTTCTCAACTTACTCTATAGAGATGCAATTCGTTTCCCTTCAATCTCTCGACGACCCTCTCGGAAGTGATCGAATTCCCATTAGAGTTCTTCTCCAAGAGCAATGCTATAGTCTTTTTATGGTCCAAGTCCATCAGATCGAGGAGCATGTCGAGGATGACTCCGTGGAGCTTGTGTTTCTGGATCAACGTGAACACGTCTTTGTGTTTCAGCCTGAAAATGACTCAATATTACTTACAACTCTTCAAATTACGGTCTCGAGCTGCTCACTTAAGAAACATGGACAAGCTCTTGTCGTATTTCTTGTCATAGCTGTACAGGATCGCGAGAGCTTCGAGGTAGTCATTTTTTTCTATCTCGCATGTGAGAAGATGCTCCAGAACTGCGTTTATGACCGCACAAACGTTGTACAGTCCTGGATCCCACTCCTTAACGAGATTCAAAAAGCCCTACAACGTAAGAATATTTTTAGCGAGGAAATCGGAACATGATGGAGTTTCGCATACTTTTGAATCCAGTTTAAGGTATTCGTAGAAAATCATTTCGTAAATGTGAGGGTTCAGTTTGGATTCTGGAGTGCAGGGAATGTAAGGACTGACCGACCTGAAAACAACACGTTCATTGGAAACGTTCGACGTAAATATCGTTTCTAACCTCAAATGATGGATACTTGCAAACTTGTAGATCTGGTCCTCCCACAGGGCGGGATTCTTTCCAAATATTTTGAGGCCTATCCTTCCGGCAGCGTCGTACGAGCCTCTTGCAATCAAATGGTCAAGATAGTCAACCCCGACCGACTGCATAGTGTGTCTCAGAATTCCGCGGGTGCCGTTTTGCACGAGGATGTCCAGAGCATCATCGTATTTGCTGAAAAGGAAATTATTCTCACTCTTTTCACTGACAAGTTAATTGCTTTCCATAATTTCAACACACGTTCAGTCAAGTTATTTTTATTAATCCCAGAAATATTACTTGTTTATGAACAATGCAGAGGTGATGAAACTAGTTGACTAGATAAGTGCTATATATTAGGTTGTTTGTAATGTCCTGTCCGTTTTTATGAATCTACTTTGAACTGTAATATCTCAGTGAATTCAATTGAAAAAGGCGCCATTTAAATCAGTGCAATTTTGCCAACGTAACA